CTCAATGCAGAATTCACGAAATTTGTTGAGGCATTAGCAGATGGAGAATTAAAACTAGAAAATGGACAGGTAAACCCTAAACCCTAAACCCTAGGTAAACCCTAAACCCTAAACCCTAAACCCTAGGTAATCATTGACGGGTAAAAGATACCGTATTGGTCGTGGTGATAGGGAGATGAAATGGCTCTTGAAAGGAATCGTAGATCTTCACCCGAGAATTAGGGTTTAGGCTTTAGGGTTTGGAAATTAGGGTTTAGGGTTTAGGGTTTGTGGTTCAGCTGCTATCTCGTGAGGGTTTGCCTGCTGACTGGGACACGGAGTTAGCATCCCAAGAAGTGCGGGAGGCAGAACCTAAAACCCTAAACCCTAATAAAGCTGCGGATACACCCCGTGATGTTGAGAGTTCCCTTCGCGAGTTAGAGGAGACATGGAAGAAGGCACACGAAAATGTACGGCAAACCCTAAACCCTAATCAGATACAAACCCTAAACCCTAATCTGGCGCAAACCCTAAACCCTTATTAGCAGCAACCCCTACGGCAGTCCTAAACCTGAAAGTCTTACACGGCAACACCCTCTCCAGCCAAAACCCTAAACCCTAAACCCTTCTACTTAACACGAAGTACTGTCATTTGAAGGTTTCAAAACGGGGTTTAGGGTTTACGGATTAGGGTTTAGGGTTTGTGCAAATAGGGGGAAATAGACGCTGAAGAGTTGAAGTTGTTTCAGTCAATCTTTAGATCAGAGGACATGGATGAAATATTCGCAAAAGGGTTTGACAATAAATTAGGTAAACCCTAAACCCTAATTCGAGGGTTTTGTTCCATTGAAAGGAGTGTTTTTAATCTACGATTTAGGGTTTAGGGTTTGGGCCCCCAGGTGGAGGGTTTTGTTCTATTGAGGAGTGTTGAGTCTGGGGTTTAGGGTTTAGGGTTTAGGGTTTGGGGTTTGCGTTTGCAGTGGAAGACTTGGGGCCTTCTACGGTTGAGGACGCGGGTGAGCGGGTGTGCGAGGGTTTAGGGTTTGTAAGGGTTTGTAAGGGTTTGTAAGGGTTTGCTAGGGTTTACTAGGGTTTGTTGTGTGTGTTACCCATACAGAAGAGGTATCATCCCCTGTATACTTCCGTCGCCAAAACCCTTATCTAAACACTAATTTAGGGTTTCTAGAAAAAGCGAATAAATTAATTAATGAAGGAAAACTACAAGAAGCAATATTAGTCCTTGAGGCAGAGGTGCAGAAACACCCCAATAGTAGCGAAGGATGGAGGTTATTAGGACAGTGCCATGCAGATAATGAACAGGTAAACCCTAAACCCTAAACCCTAAACCCTTCAACAGAACTAGTCGTAAATTCAAGAAATTCACCAGGGGAGCGGGAAGGTCAGAGGCACAGGCGATGTTTGAGGGTTTGGGGATTAGGGTTTAGGGTTTAGGGTTTAGGGTTTGTTCAGGACGTGGAGGCTATCCATTGTTTGAAGCGAGGCCACAGTGTTGATCCTTACAATCTTGATAGGTGAGCCCTAAACCCTAATTGCAAACCCTAAACCTTAATGGCAAACCCTAGACCCAAATGGCAACAGCAAGGGAGAAACGGAGGTTTGGACTTGAGCTCTAACGGTCAAGGATTTAGGGTTTACTGTCCACCGCTGAGGGTTTAGTGTTTAGAGTACCTCCAAAGAGCTTAGAGTTTAGGGTTTAGGGTTTAGGGTTTGCGTTGCAGTCTGATGGCATTGGGGGTTTCTCTAACTAATGAATTAGATGTAGGCCAAGCCCTTCTATACTTGAGGACTTGGCTGGCAAACCACGATGACTTCCAGCATCTTCCTGGTCTATCGGTAAACCCTAAACCCTAAATAAACACTAAACCCTAAACCCTAAATAGACCCTAAACCCTAGTTTAGGGGATATCTTGTATCAGGATCTCTCTGTCTCTCTGTCTCGTTTCTGTGGTGAATTACCCCTCACCTGCCAAGCATCCTCCAAACCCTTTTGAATTAACCAATTAGTGTTTAGGGTTTAGGGTTTAGGGTTTAGGGTTTATGTTTAGGATTCTCCTCCTACGGATTTTCATGCATTAAAAGGGGAATTATTATCTTTATTTGAGGAAGCACTAAAACAGCCCCATGATGCAGCAGCACAATTGCATGCAGCATTAGGAGTTTTATGTAATATTGACAGACTTTACGATAAGGCATTAAGTCATTTTGCTGAGGCCCTTAAATATACGTAAGACGAGGGTTTAGGGTTTAGGGTTTAGGGTTTGGTTCTGTGGGAGGAGTAGGGCTTGTTTTGTTTTTTCTTTTGTTCTAGTGATTTGGTCGCCATGTGGTTATGTGCTTGAATTGCATGCATTCCATCCAAACTAGGGTTTAGGGTTTAGGGTTTAGGGTTTAGGGTTTATTGCAGGAAAGGGAGCGAAGCTGCATCTTTATGGAATAAGATAGGAGCAACATTAGCGAATTCAGGAAGATCAGCGGCAGCACTTTTAGCGTATAAACAAACCCTAAAATTAAAACCTAATTATCCAAGGGCTTGGGCTAATCTAGGGGTAGCTAAGGCTAATCTCGGTAAGCCCTAAACCCTAATAAACCCTGACAAACCCTAATTCGCCATAGGAAACCCTAGTATCCCCTAGGAAACCTTAGGAGTAAACCCTTGTCCGTCAGTCCCACAAAACCCTCAAACCCAAACCGCTGCAAGGCCTGAATTTTGCTTTGCCAGCGAAGCATAGGGAGGTTCGCAGACTGCTCCGCGAGGGTTTAGGGTTTAGGGTTTAGGGTTTGCTGCGCAGGGGAAATGGAAGAAGCGCTGCAGCACTATCTTGTTGCTTTGGAGCTAAACCCTGAGGCAACACATCTTTGGCATTATGTCCGCAGTGCCTTAATCAGCCTAAGTAAGCTGAACCCTAAACCCTAAACCCTAATTCGTGTTTGAGCTACCAGCCTATGCGACGGCTTGGGTCGTTGCAGGTGTGCGAAACCCTAAACCCTCCCATCCATGCGTGTGCTAGGGTTTTAGTTGGTGCTAGGGTTTAGGGTTTACGTTCCTGCTGCAGACCGATATAATTGGATTGTCTACACAGAGAACAGAGACTTGGAGGGTTTCCGGAAGGTCTTACCGGTGAGTTTTTCTTAATGTAAACCCTAGAAAAGGGTTAGCTTGTTAGCAACATCGTGATGCCCCTATGGTACCAGAAGTGTAGGGTTTAGGGTTTATTAGGGTTTGGGGTGTATGCAGAGAGGAGACACGCCACCGCTATCTTCGCTTATTGCACCAGGAGACCCGCAAGCAGCAGAAGAAAGCCCGAGGGTTTTGCAGCAGATATACGGCCTTCTGAGCTAAACCCTAGGCTCTAAACCCTAGCAATGAATCGTTTTCGCCTCGAACTTCATGCGAGGGTTTGGGGTTTGCAATAACTCTTCATGTCAACTAAGCCTTGGTTTTAGGGTCTAGGGTTTAGTGTTTAGGGTTTACGGCGGGTGGGAGAATGCAGTATCGAGTGTGTAGAGCTAGCTGACCTTCAGTTCAGCAGATGGCTTCTATCAAGCTTCTTAGGGTTTAGGGTTTAGGGTTTAGGGTTTGTTCATTAAAGACACCAGTTATTCTAACGGCGAGGGTTTAGGCTACACACCGACCGTTTGTAAACGTTGGACTCCCGGTGAGCGTCGAGGGTTTAGTGGTCTCGAGAGGAGCAGTTGGATACACTTATTAGGGTTTACAATTTAGGGTTTAGGATTGTAAGGGTTTAGTTGTATAAAGACAAGCCATCTTAGCTGAACAATAAGTAGTTTTTGTCATTTTATTAAGCAGAAGGATAGCGAAGTTTACAACCACCCCTCGAGCCTGCGGGGCGGGGCCGCCGGGAAGCCCAACCCTAAACCCTAAACCCTAATCAGGGTGGTTTGAAGCCTGAACATTGAAATCAAAAATAGTTCTGAAAATGCAACAAATTGATACATTTATTCTTTCCACAATTCCGTTGGCGCGCCGCAAGTCGGTGCTGCTCCGAATCTTAGGGTTAATGATTTGGGGTTTAGGGTTTAGGGTTTAGGGTTTTAGGTTTTAGAGCAGAATAGCTCTTTGATATCTTCCGCTCTTTTTTCCGCATTTTCCGCCAAGCTTTTTAGCTTTCTTTTATTTTCCGTTTTCTTTATTCCTTTAAACCCCCCAGGAGGCGAGCCGGTAACCAGCGATTCCTTCAGGTACGCTGAGAGAGGCTCTGTCTTCTAGGGTTTAGGGTTTAGAGTTGAGGGTTTAGGGTTTACTCCTTGGCCCTTAAGGTACTTTTCGACTTCGATACAGCCTGTCCCAGCGGACAAGATTCGCAGCAGGCAATGCAGCAGCAACAAACAGAACAGCAACAGCTGTCACCGCAGCAGGAACTGCAGCAAGGCCTGCAGCAAGAGCTTCAGAAGCTGCAGCAGCAGCAGCAGCAACCCACACAGGTACACAGCGCAAAAGAGCGCCTGCAGCAGCAGCAGCAGCAAGGTTTCGCGCAAGTGCAGACGAACACGCAGCTGGAGCAAAAAGCAGCACAGCAGCGGCAGCACCTAGTTCAGCAGCAGCAGCAGCAGCAGCAGCAGCAGAATATGACAGGGGGTTTGTCTGAGGATATGCCGCTACCTTCTTCTGCAAATGCTGCTCCGCAGCAAGACAGTGCAAGTCTCGTTCCGTCGTCTTGCAGCAGCAGCAGCAGCAACAGCCGCTGGCTCAGCAGCACCAGCATGAAGCAACAACCAACAGCAGCAGCAGCAGCAACAACAGACGGCAGTCGGCTGTCAACGCAGGAAGAATCAGCATCTTCTGGTGCAGCAACGTTAGAAATCAGCAGCAGCAGCAGCAGATCTTCTCCTGCATCAACAGCAGATCCCGGATGCCACTGCAGCAGCAGCTGCTGTAGAAGAAATAGCAGCGATAGCCAAGGTTTGTCCCTTACGGCAGCAGCAGCTGCTGCTGCAGCTGCCGAAGAGAACGCTTCAAGCGATTCGTCGGCAACTGCAGCAGCAGCAGCAGCAGCAAAGGGTCACAATAGCAGCAACAGCCCGCTTGCCGGCCTTATACCGTACAACGCAGCAACAAATGTAGACAGCTGTCCGGGTAGCGCAGCGGCAGCAGCAGCGGCTGCTGCTGCTGCTGCAGCGGGTAGCAGTACAGCAGGTAGCTTAATGGGGAGCCCAGAAGAAGCAGCGACAAGTGGGCATCTTCGCTCTCCGAACAACCCTGCAGCAGCAGCAGCAGCAGCAGCAGCAGCGGCAGCAGCCGACAAGCGCATTTCAAGTGGGGAATTGCCTCCAACAGCGGCAGCGGCAGCAGCAGTAGCAGCTGCAGCAACAGCACCAGCAGCAGCGGCATCGGTCAGTAGCAGCCCAGCAAGTTTGCTGCTGAGCCCAGGAGCAGTCGTTCACTGCAGCAGCACATGCGAGTTGATGCTAGAGAGAGCAGCAGCAGACAGCAGCACGGGCTCGATGCTACGGCAAGCAGCACCGGCAGGAGGAGCAGCAGCAGGAGGTGGAGGAGCAGCAGCAAGTCAGCTGCCTGTGCTGCGCCGGGTGCAGATTTTGCCATTAAATCATCCCTACACTTTATCTGCTGCTGCTGCTGCTGCTGCGCTGCGGCAGCTGCAGCAAATCAACCCGAGAATATACCCAGGTAGGCTGTTCTATGCGAAGACAACAGCAGGAGCAGCAGCAGCAGCAGCAGCAGGGCAGCTATCAGAAGCATCTCTTGGCTCAGCAGCAGCAGCAGCAGCAGATATAATTCATGTACTGCCTGCGGACCCAGCTGAGGGTCCGTTCCCTGCCAAAGCAGCAGCTGCTGCTGCGGCGGCGACAGCTGCTGCTGCTGAAGGATCAGCAGCAGCAGCACCAGAGGGTTATTTGCCTTATGTGGTAGCAGCAAGCGAGCCTGCTTCTGGTGGCATCTGCAGCAGCGAGACACTGCTGCACTGCAGCAGCACCGCTGTTGCGAGACCAGTAAGGAAGCTGCAGCTGCTGGCTCTGCTGCAGGACTCTTTTTGGTCTATTAATTCAGGTGTACCAAGGAATACAAGAGTAATAGGTATCCGGCAGCAGCAGCAGCAGCAGCAGCGCCAGCTGCATAGGGAAGAACTGCAGCAGCAGCAGATGATGAACGCAAATGTGCAGCAGGAGTCCGGCAGTAGGCATCAGCCATTCTTTCTGCCCCCTCCAGATGTGCAACTGCCTTCTGCGTTCAAACCAGCTGCTGCTGCTGCTGCAGCAGCAGCAGCAGGAAGAAGGGGAGACAATTCCGCCATTTGGCGGCTTGCTGCTCTGGTGACGCCTGCTGAGAGAGCGAGACAACTGCAACTCCAACTGCAGCAACAACAGCAGCAAAAGCTTCGGCAGGAGCAGCAGCAGCAACAGCAGCACCACGCAGGTCACGAGCAGCAAATGCAACTGCAACAGCAGCAACAGCAGCAACAACGGCAGCAACCGTCCCATGACACTGCTGACATGACAAGCGAGAGTTCTCTTGCTGAGTTAGAGGACCCATCAAAGGATGACAACAACGCCAACAGCAGCAGCAGCAGCAGCAGCAGTCCATCAGTATGGGGAATAGGGGATATTTTTCGCAGTATGCATCGTGGTGCTGAATCATTATTACGTTCTTTTATTTCATTAAGAAAAGAAATATTAATTGATGAAGAAATACTTTTTTCTGCGCATGCAGCCCCATACCTTCTATGTGATTCTGTTGTTTTTCCTGGTAAAGTTTTCTTCTCTTTTAATCTCTTCTTTATTGTTGCTGCAACAGAGCCGGATTATACACAAGGACCAGGATATTGTACACATGAAACAGTAAGCTGCTGCTGCTGCTGTTGCTGTTGCTGTTGCTGCTGGTGGTGGTAGTGGGGTTAGGGAGGGAGAGGGGAGGGAGGAGGGTTGGATTGTTGCTGCTGCTGCTGTTCTTTGTGCTGCTTCTATGGGTTGTGCTGCGGTTGATACTCGTGCTGGTAGTATTATTGCTGCTGCTGCTGCTGTTGTTGTTGTATAGGAGATAAATTTATGTGTTGATCCTTATGGAGAATTTGACTGCGTCGTGATTTCTCCCTTTAAGCAATTTATCAGCAACTCCCTAACCCCTGGTGCTGCTGCTGCTCCTGCTGTTGCTGCTGAGGATGAGGAGGAGGAGGAGGTACCAGAAGAGGGGTCAGCAAGTCCCCCATCAGCAGTAACAGCAGTAGGCGCGGCAAAATCAGTAGGAATAGCAAGAGAACTAGGAGGAGCAGCAGAAGAAGATGACCCCGAAGAAGGCACAGCACCGCAACGAGCCCCACCACCCCCACCACCTCCATCACCCCCAGCAGCAGCAGCAGCAACAACAACAACAACAACAGCACCAGCATCAACAGCAGATCGTCTATCGGAGGTAGAATCTGTATGGAGGGGGGCCCTATCTCCTTTCTTATCAAGTCCTGGTGGCCGCTGCCGTCTCTTTGCTGCAGGGGATGTCTTTGCTGCTGGTCCCTTACAATTTAAAGTTGTATCCACAAACCCTAGCTCACCAATAGCAGGAGCAGCAAGAATAGGACCCGCTACAGCTATACGCATTGCCGGTAGGCTGCAGGGTTTAGGGTTTAGGGTTTAGGATTCGTGCGTATGATGGTCTTCTGGGGTCTAGAGTTCCTAGGGTTTAGGGTTTGTAACTGAGGGCACAGGCCTGATGATTGGGGTCTAACGATTTAGTCTGTAGGGTTTAAGGTTTGTTGTCGGGGATCTCTTCATGTTTCTTCTCTACTGTTGCTGTTTTAGAGTTTGCTGCTGCTCTCGCAGCTGCTGCTGCTGCTGCTGAATTTGCTGTTGCTGCTATGGCTGCTACTGTTGTTTGCGTGGTTGTGTGTGCAGAGGCAGTGGACTACAGCGTGATGGATGCCGTCTGCTTGCTGCAGCCGCAAACAGCAGCAGCAATAAAGAAGAGTGCTGCTTACCTTCGTCCCCACTTGCTGCTGCGAGCGTATCATGATCTTCCACGGGAGACACAACGGCTGCTGCAGCAGATAGGGGCTCTTGCTGCGCTGCCGCAGGAGCAACCGTTGCAGCAACCCCTGCAGCAACCCCTGCAGCAACCCCTGCAGCAACCCCTGCAGCAGCTGCTGCAACAGCAGCAGCAACAAGATGCACCACGTGAAACCAGCAACAGCAGCAGCAGCAGCAACAGCAGCGGCAGCAGGAGAAGGAGAAGGAGCAGCAGCAGCTGCGAAGATACCGAAGGCGTTTCGCTTCTTATAGGAAGCGAGGGGCCCCTAACGAACGATATGGGGAGGTCCCCGAGGGCCCCCATGAGCCCGTGCACACGACGGTTGCCTCCCATCAGGCAGCCAGCAGCAACAACAGCAACAGCAACAGCAGCAGCAACAGCAACAACAACAGAAACAACAGTTCAAGAGGATTTTGGTACTGGCAGGCCGCCGTCACCAAGCGACTTTGCTGGGGGGGCCCCCTCGAATGCAAACCCTTCCGTCTTGGGGGGCCTCTTCGAGGGGCCCATCCCTGCTAGCTCTATACGCCAGGCCGTCGGAGCAGCAGCAACAGCAGCAGCAGGTGCAGCAAGTGCAGCAGCAGGTGCAGCAAGTGCAGCAGCGGCTGCAGCTGCAGCTGCAGCAGGACGTGGATCACTGTGGCATCGTTCTCCTGAGGGGGGCCCGGAGGCCCTTCCTCAGAATGAGGGGCCCTGGGCAGGGGTGCTGGGGGCCCTGGGGGCTCAGCCCACAACCACCACCAGCAGCAGCGACAGCGGCAGCAGCGGCAGCAGCAGCAGGAGTTCTTCCCTAGGGCCCCCCCCATCATCGCAGTCTACTGGAGAGTGGGGGCCCCCTTCCTCAGCAGAATTCCCTGCTTCCCCGCATGCAGAGTCTACTGCCTCTTCGTCCTGCTGGGGCGGGGGCCGTTGGTCAGGAGGGGGTACTGAGCACGACACACCTTATGGTGCCCCGGGGGTAACAACAGAACAACCCCAGCTACACAGTCCGCCTATGGGGGCCCCCATGGGGGTTCCCATAGGCATGGGGGCTGCCATAGGCGGGGGTCAACCTATAGGCGCGGGTGCCCCCATAGGCACCCACCACGGTGCCCATCACTCTCTCCATGGAGCCACCCTTGTGCCAGGTGCATGCAACGCAAGCTTTAACTGCATAGATGGCCCTCCCCAAGATTTGCTGCACGGCGTAGGCATAAATACCCCTGCTGCTGCTGCTTGTGACAGCCCAAGATGGGGTGGGGGGCCCTGTAGCGGTCCCCCGCGGTGTACATCATATGACCAGGGAGGGGGCATCCCTGCTTCCCCTCCGCCTTTCCTAGGTGCAGCAGAAGCATCAGCAGGGCCTTCTCCTGCTAGTTCTTTAATGTCTCCTGGGGGGCCCCCCAAGGGCTCCTTCGCATCGTTACTACCCTCTGAAGCTTCCTTCTCTCTCCCTCTCTCTTCTGGTGGCGGTTCTTTCTCTTTACCAAACACAACCCGTCATCTCCCATTTAGAACTGTCCGCCTCTTTAGGGGGCCTCCACAGGGGCCCCCCAGGGGGCCCCATGGGGAAGGGGCAATGGGCGTGGTACCTCTTGGGGGCCCCCGGCATGAACAGCCTCTCGTAGGGCACCTTGAGGGGCCCCTTGGGGGGTCCCACCCACCCGCAGCTTACGAAGGGATGCATGCAGGAGCAACGGGGGCCCCAATGACCACAGAGGGTACCCTGAATGGGTGCGCCCGAGATGGCTTGCCCCCCTCACAGGGGGTTCCACCACCGTTTTCTTTAAGTGGAGGGGCTTTTGCAAGAAGGGAAGGCCTGCTGGGGGCCCTCCTCTCAAGAGGGCCCTCTAGCAGGGGGGACGTCCCCCCTCCAGCAGCCACAACATCCAACGAAGCAGCCAGCTGCAGCAGATGCAGAATGGCTGCTGCCTTTTTATGAGCTGCTGCAGCAAGGTAGGGGACCCAGAAGTGGGTTAACTGCAAGGCCGCACCAGAGGGCCCCCGTGATGCAGCACAAGGGGGCCCCTCCCTCAGCAGGTTGTTCAGGACCATTGAGGGGAAGAAGCAGGTTGTTAGTATCTTTTCTTTTTATGTCTTTGTTTGTGTCTTTGTTTTTTATTTCGTTGTTGTTCTTGCTTACTTGTCGTTTGTTTCTTTTCTTTGTTTCTTCCGCCAATGCGCCACCATATACATATAAATAAATAAATAAATAAATAAATAAATAAATAAGTATATATATATATATATA